TGCCGTGCTCACGTGCTGGATAGTTGACAGCAATCAATCCTTGCCTTAGGGTTGTTAGTTGATACAACGATCAGACGGAAAGGCCACGTACCATTGCTGGACGGCCAGAGGCTGGTCCATGGGCACGCCCAAACGAACCATCTCGCATTGTGCATAGAAAGCATCTAGGTCAATGTGGGCTATAACTCGTAAGGGGCACGATGTGTTGTAAGTCGCTAGTTGGGACAAATGTTTGAAGGTGAACTGAGATTTGTGTCTGTTGATGCCGGTGATAGGGGAGGATTCCCGGAAAGGCTGTGAGGACGACATGATATCACGTCGGCTGACTTCCACCGATTTGCCGGTAGGCGTCGTGAGGCCCCCTGCTCGATTGCCGGAATTTCAACGGCGTACGTCTTGGGTCGACATGGGCCGGACGCTGTTGACAGCAAAGACGATGGATTGGTTTCCCCTCCTCGTCCTCTTTCGAATCTTCTCTCGTTTTGCTACAGCGCAAAGTCCTGTGTAGCCGTTTATCTGTGATCAAGGAGATGGTTGATGTGTTGTTGCACGGATAATTCTTATACTCAAAGATTAAGGTAGCACGTAGTTGAGGTAAACGCGCCTGCAAACGCGCCTGCCATTTAGTGTCTGTCGAAGCTAGGTACGTACAGCGGCAGCAATTAAGGGTTTGAAACCAAGCTGATTGGCTAGCGGTACTCTGGGGGCCCACCTTTAACCAACGATGACCCGCAGACGTCCTGGCAGTGCTCGTCCCTCAACCTCTTGCAACGACATCGGCTCCGTTTACCTTACTTTACCTAGAGAGAAGAGGCTTCATTACGTCTCAATCTAACCGTCCGATGAACGTTCAATCGCAGCATCATCTGAACTCATTGAAATATAACCACTAGGTTTCTTTCGTTGTTGATTTCCTTGAGGACAGCAACGCATGTTGTACGAACTCATCGGGTTCTCTCAACACTCCTACTTCATTCTCTCGCGATTCGCTATTGAGGAGATTGCTACGCCGCAATGTTGCGTCATACGTCCGCTTATTTGTTCTCGCTATCAATTATCGTCAGGCTCGTGGGAAATCTATATCTTGCTGGTTCTCTATCAGGATCGTCTCTGCATCCTCCTTTGTCATTACCCTATATTAAGCTTATAATTCGGACATGCCGATTTAATTCTTCACATGTGAACGTTATTCTCGCCCTCTCCCAACGCTTGAGTCAGTCCTTAGCGGTACAGTCACACGACTGCGACCTTCATGATGGTGTGTTGTATGTCAGCTCTTGGAAGACGCAGCCTCGTCCGTGCCAAGAAATACGTTTCGAGACATTCCTAGCCCTCGTACTCTGTACTTTGCGCGCCTTTCCAGCGCCTTACAAGTCTATGAGAAAGGCGCCCATCAGGCAACAGCCGTAAAGGCAACACGAGGCTATAAGATCATAATTAAAGCACGCCGCGTGCCGAGCTTTGAAGCATCTCAAATACCTCGAGCTGAATCACTGAGTGGATCATAGTTTCTTGTACCTCCGATACTCTGTCTCAGTCCCTAGGCTGACAATATTCTGTTCCTGGCCTACCGTCACCAAATGGTCCGAGTTGGAGAGTTAAACGAGCCTGCCGCGTCTACATCGTTCACTAACCGACCCCAATGATATCAGCAGCAGGCTACGAGTTGCTATTTCGCACATTCCTTGTCCAAAGAAGCAGGTGGTACAGACTTCAGAGTCGATCTATCCAATCTTTTCCCTCCACTCTACCTCTCATTGTAGTAAGCTTCATGGCATACATCCCTCGTCAAGACGTTACATCTTCTCACTAGACTGGCAGGTTACGGAGATCAACACTCGTCCTCCGATTCTTAGACTACGTGCCGCGTCTACTGCCCTAGCGTTTAATCGACCAATCTCACGAGAAGAGAAAGACAAAGAGCAGGCTACATATCTCATCGCACATGGTGACTGGTTATCACACCGTGCCGGCCGCAAAGCCTTGCTGTCGTCGACCACAGAGCACGGCATCCCACAATGACTAACGGAGGATAAGACACAAATTCGCTTCCCTACGTAACCCCACGCTCTACGTAATGCTATGACGGATACTATCCTTCATGCGATGCAGCTAGGCATCTACTCGTTTGGTAGTTCGGTTCGGGAGTCCCTCGTGTCAAACCTGAATTCCCGTAAATCCGTTGACCACCGCCGTTCATAGGAGGCTCGGTTGCACAGGAGCCGACGACATGACACAAGGTTTCTTTCGGCGAGTCTTGCTGGTATAAACTATGAGGCACCCAGTCACCCTGAAACTCACCTTGTGCGGTCCACCGTTCGGTTGGAATGTGGGTGTCCCTATTCACTGCAAAGTTCACGGAGTGGCTTGTCTGGGGTTCGAACAGGGCGCCGTCCCTTCGCAAAGCTAGTCCATTTGGACCAAGAGGGGTCTTAGAACGAGTCATTGTTGCTAATAAGCATTAGTATCTCGAAGTCAACATATCAACCCCGCCTCAGCCCTACGTTTACGAGATGGGTGGCCTAGATCTCGACCATGACGAACCCCCGGGCCAAGCGCGCGGCGTACATAGAAAACCCCTCACTCTCTTCCGAAAGAGGGGAATACTTGTGAATGGCGATCAAAAGCTGCACGGAAGCTGGCCGAGATGTCTTCGGTACTCGACCATACAGAACAGCAGGTTTGCCTCTGTTGAACTCTAAACTTCCAGGTGAGCCATAAGGCTGCCCATTTTTAGCGCTGCCTCGTCCGCGTTGCCTTATCCTTACAGGTAAGCCACATCAACAGCCCTATAGTCATCTTTGGGGTCGTCTCCCGATCTCGTCCTCGTCCCGTGGTATCGCGGCATGTTAGCTGACTGGTTGCCAAACCCAAGTGCCGGCGATGAAGTCGAGAAATCCATCCAACACGACCCCCTCCTATCCCGCCGCCTGTAGGATTAGCCCCCATGTTACTAGTTTCAAGAGCTCGGTCATCCCGCTGCGGCTCTCGAGACATGCGGCGGGTAGCAGAGCAGGCGTAACCGCATCACCGGCGTCAGCCCAAGAATGTTCTATCAATGTTTTACCTTCGGGACAACCAGTCAGTAACCGCTTCTTTGTTCATGTCCTTATTTGGAAACCTCTCCGAAGCTGAAATGGCTTCTCCTAGCTTTATGGGTGGGGGTGGTCTCGGAGCCCTATGCTGTACTAGTCGAGAAAGAACGACTGACGCAAGATCCAGCACACCCATCGGACCGCTGGACCACAAGCGGGGGCCAAGGCCTCTTCTTCTAGGAACATTTCGTTCGGGAAGGATGTATCATTGCCATTTGGAGCCATGTCCGAGGGAGCTCGGCCATGGGGTAGACCTGCACAAAGCGATCTAAACCGATTTTCTGATCTGAGACTAAAGCACTCGTACTGGAGATGCGGAAGGCAGGCGTCCGCCTCCAGTGTTATCTAAATATGATGGAAAGGGAGTTGGTATAAGACAAGTCTGAAGGCCTGTCATCGTGGCTCAAGAAATGTCGAAAGAAATCATCATCCATGGCTATTCCGCTTCTCTCACTTTCTTCGGTCTAAACCACTTATACCATCTCTCCATCTCAAACTCTCCCACAATACATGTACTTTTGGCTTTTGATACTCGACTTGAGCTAGCGCCTCTATTATCCACACACTTTGTGGCAATCTCTGGTAGCTCCCAGGTTTCCTCGAACCTTCAGCAATCCAAACATGTAAGTCGGCGAGTTCCAGTCCCAGTTCTCCTGTCTTCTTTCCGACTCACCACTCTCCTAGGTCAGACGACGGCAACGATTCTGACACATCCGAGCTCCCTCCCGTCAGCACAAAGTCCATGCCCGAAGGGTCTTGGAAGTGCTGCGAGTGTAGCGAGAACAACAACAGCGAGCTATGCGGAACGGACGAGAACGACAACATGAAGTGCAACGCAACGCCTTGTAATCACACAAAGTGTGAGGACTGTTCAGATCCAGATTGAGGTCTGATTTCTGCGTGTCTGGCTAAGGATGTTGGGTATACGGGGGTTTAATTTGATGCAGGATCACAGCAACTGCAATGGCATGGAGGATTCATGATTGGCAGGGAGGCTGGAGTCTGGAGTTTCGGATAGGTAGTTCGGCACGGACGTGCCATGATAAACGAAGAGGAAATGGCTTGCTTTTATTATATCAAGTCCCTTTACGCCGCGAAAGTAGCTCTAGTGTGTGAACTTCTCTCTCCTCGTCGCACCCTTACTCCATTCGTAATATCCTCGACCTTTTATTTAAGTAACGTCAAGAATCTATCATCTGGATAACGAGAGATCTATGGCGCCTGTGCCACAAAGGCAAAAGCCACCACCAATTCAAGCAACCCCAACCATTGAGATGGAAGACATCATGATATCGTCACCCACCATAATCACGATATCTTCACAAAAAAATGAAAAACATACAACACCAGGTATTCGCTGGTCGTCACCGACCCAACTACTAATCCGGCCCTCATTGGCTTATCTATGGGAGAGCGGACGGGATCCCGAGTTTTCCAATGGGTATGGTCGTATGTGGTCGGAAAGTGTGTGGAACAGGTTGATGATGTCTTGGAGGTAGAGTCACTACGAGACATCGAACCAGCCCCACCGTTTCCGCCGCCGTTTGGTGGACGCGCCTTCGGCCCGGTGGATCTTCAAGGTCGGTCGGTCCATGAGGCGGTTGCTGCAACACCAGGCGTCCCGATGCTCCTACTGAATCTGACGGTACAGTTGAACACATTATGAAGCCCTGAGGTAACGTAAGACATCTCAACAATGCGTGTAGGCTGGAGCTGCTCTGCTCTGCTCGAGTGGCCATATACTGAATTAATTACTACATAAGAAGGCTTAAGGTTAGTCACTCATGTGTATAGGTGTGTGCATATTGGCATATAAACCCAAATAAAACGCCGGCCTGCTTTGCATTGCCCAAGTCCCCTTAACGCCTAAATGTGCTAGGGCCGTTCGATATGCTTAGGCCTCGGTCAATGATCGCTGTCTCTCAGTTCCTGCATCTCCCTTCCGCTTGACGAACCGTTGGGATCAGGCAGACCGTGTCGTTCTCTGAGCCTTTGTACCAACGGGCCCATCTCGTAGTCACTCTCCATGCTGTCGTGATTGGCGCATGGTGACCCGCGTATGGGCAAAAGCCAGTCAATCAAGGTGTACCCCATAATGGACGTCCAGTTTCTAGCGTACCCGAGATCCCACGGGTTCTCATCTGGTTCGGTCCTGACAATAGCAAACGTGCGCGTAGCTAGTCTATCACGGGGGGTCTCGCTGTCGACGGTGGCGTCCGAGGAGGTAGGTATCCCTTGTGGATACTTTGGAAGAGGATATGTGATCAAGCCGTAGCTATTCCCGGGCCGGGTGCCGTTTGGTACCCTGATTGCTAGTTGATGGACCCAGGACTTTCGAAGGGCATCGATGTTGGTGATATTAAGTAGAATGAAGCGCCAAGAAGTCGCAGTCATGAGAAAGGTAAAAAGTCCAAAGAAACCTGCGATGGCGACGCCTGAGATCGTTCTCCCGTCTACAGTCCCGTCGCGCACCTGTAAAGCCAGACAATAGGCTGTCTGGCCCAGCGCAACTGCGCAATAACAAGTGCAATAGAAGGTGAACTGGGCAAAGAACTTGAAGGCTGTTTTCTGTCAGTATTGGATCTGTGCCATAGATGGTGTCAACTCACAGGTCTCCGACACCATGCCACCGACCCATGGGCAATAGTGATCCATCTTTCGTACGCATCGCTCAACCTCGCTCGAATGATGAGCTCTATCGGGTTTCCAATTCCGGCACTCAGAACACCATTTCGGCCGTCCGTCACTCTCACATGCGAATACGTCCTTGCTGTAGAATCCCTCCAAGCCGGGGCTGTCCGGGTCCTGATCGGGGCCTGTGAAGTACGGCTGACTTTCCAAGTCTCCCTCCTTTCTCCGCCTACTCTTTTTGTTCGATTCCCTTAGTGCTTGTTGTGCCTGTGGGCCAAGCGGTACCAAGCCAGGGTCCGCTTTGATCTTGAGGAACGTCCGCAGATAGGTGGCGATCGTGAGGAGGTAGAAGAAGAGGTAGAGGGTGATTGTCGAAATGGCGGCACCATGCTCACCCCGGGTTCTATACAGATAGTCGACTGCAGCGACAGATTAGCAGAGCAAAGCAGTCATACAAAAGAGAACAGCTCACCGCCTAGATAGGCCACGACCACGTATGTAGCATAGCCGCTGGTACCGGTGATGATGAGGGGGATGATGCGCGTCACCCATCGCGAGGCACATTTCGTGCTGGTAGCTTGCGACATTGCAACGGCGCAATCATTTCTGGCGCATGGAAACAAGAAAGAGGACAAATTAAATAAGTGGGCGACCAAAAGAGAGTATGGAAGTTACGAGCGACGAGCTGCGAGCTGTAGAGCCGCGCAGACGATGCGACAATACGCAAATGCGCAGGATTGGAGATGGTTGTCGTTCTTTCCGGAAATTGGTGCCGGGACGACGGACAAGTTCTGGGCGCTCGGAGGTGCGTGCATGGGATGCAGTGTTAATGTCATTGTACCTTAGGTATCTCACCTCCACTGCCAATTTACACAGGGCCGAAAAATAGCGGGTACAGGGAAGACAGGGGCGGGAAAGATGCGCTGCAGAACACGCGCATAACAATAGCTCCCTTGTGCTGAAGTGGATCAATAACGGGAACAGTGGCTTCAGCCCTACAACATCCAGTTCCACGCCTTTGTGGCGTCAGCCCCCTCTACATACTTGTGGTTTCCCCTTCACCATGTTTTCTCTTTACTGCAGCATGTCGATCTTCCATAAGGTACTCCAAAGCATCCAATTGACGACATGCAACTCTCAGCCGCGAGACACTGCCCTTTCGTTCTCCGAGGGGAAGTTCCCGCGGAAAGCTCATGTCAGGCAATCCGCAGTCCGTGGTTCGTCCGATTTCCCATCTCTGATCGCTGCTGCGCCTTCCTTTGTTTCACACCGGTCCAACGAACATGGAGAATTCCCAAGATGAGTGGCATGATGATTCATCCTACGACAACACATCTGCCAAGTTCCAATAATCGATTCGAACCGCGTATGAGAAAATGAGACTGCTTTCTATTTGAAACGTTAGGCAGTACGCGGTAACGTGGCTTTTAGATGTTTTCAGCTGTGACGCGACTTCATCCATCAGCTGACAGTTCATTGGTGACCATCGAGAGCTATATGTTTCAGCTTCGGTGGCCGGAAGAGGCTCCTTTCGCGGTTCAAGTCACCTCAGTGCTTGTCCTTTTCCTCGTAGTCTTTATAGACACTCGTATTCAAGCGATTAGATCTTCAGCCGCGCGTGGGTGGGGGGAAATGCCACACCTTGACGCCCGACAAACTAGGCTGCTACGCCCGATCGCGAGAACTTTTTAGAATAAATATCAGCCCACGAAACCCGGACGGAATAAACTCGGGACCATCAGGAAAGCCCCCATATACCCCTCCAAGTTTATTCCTGTCACCAGCCAGCAGGCGCCCGTCTAGGTCGACGGGTCAGGTCAAACTGGCTGGGTGGTGGAGTGGTCTAAGGTCAACAATCAATCACGCCCACAGCCTACTCGACGACAGGCTACGAGTTCGAGTTCGATTCTCCCAGCATGAGCACCAAGAGATGTAGCCCCCAGTCCAGCATCGGGGGGATGAACTCTTTTTGGTTCTGTCGTTTAGACCTTGGTGATATGCGCGAGCTCAGTTGATCACCTCGTCTCCAAGGCCACCTACTAAAGGGGCAGGCAAACTGCAAGTAACACACCGATGGGAGTCATTTCCAGAGAACAATTACAAAATACTTTCATTCACAAGTAACGCGAAAGCAAGCAGGCTCTTGCACTTTCAATTCAACAGCCCAGTACTAATTGACTCCACTTTAGGTGATCTACATCCTGGATGATCAGGCCATCAAGACCTTACGACTATACTGGGAGCATCCCTCTATCACGCCGCTGAGGGGACCAGCTCGGGTTTTTTGTGCTTGATGGGTATCCGGTATTGCGCCTCAAAATATGGTGTTAAGGATCATGCACTTGACATCTTCTTATTCACTCATCCTGTCTGTCTTATATCGCCTATTCCCAGTTCGGTCTAACAGCTTGCTACATCGAGGCCTGCCTTGGAGAATGTGCATCTCTTCTCTCGACTAACAAGGTGATAGTCGGTCAGATTATCAGGCTGTGGGACACATGGGTCAACAACTCCTCACAGACGCATGACCTGTCCAGGAGAGTTGACGAAGGCGTGGCTCTGCCTAGGCTGTCACTACCAAGGAAAATAGATACTAGCCTGAGGACCGCAAGATATCGCGTTTCGTATGGCTGGCCGGCCAAATGAGCCGCATGGTCATAAGTATAAGAAGCTCGACTACCCCCCCTTTTCATCTTTGTCCTTCGTCTGTCGTCGCTGGAATGGATTCCTTCACAGCTGCTACAATAACACCTGAATGAACAGTCGCCCCCTCCGCCCACATAAATATATGAATACTTTCATTGGCACGATTCGACTTGAATACATCTTGGCTGTCTCGCTTCCCACGATTTGATCGCTCCAGTCGGAGGACAGACGAGTAATCCCGGCGAATGAGAGACACGGATAGGAGGCTGCATAGTTGACACCGACGCTATCCATACAACGACTATGCTGTGTAAGTTTCATAGAGTGTAGTACACTCGGCTGATAGGTCAGAGTCTTTCTACATCATTCTTCTATCATTTCTCATTTGACAATAGTAGTCCTAATCCGCTGCTGTACAACCTTCTGTTCATAGGTTCGTTTCTATCATCTTTACTTTCACCTATCGCCAACCCAACCTTGAGTATGGACTAACTCAAAAGTAGATTCCCGACGGATGATTACTAGGACCTAGCTTCACCGACTTGATTCCAAATTGCTCTTCAACTTACACTCGTTCTTCTACCAAACGACTTCGAGCAATGGCAAATATCTAAGGAAATCACGTGACACACATTATCTCAATGAACTGAGCCTGGAGCCTGCATATCGACAAGACCTCCGCATGCTTACCTACGCAATTATGCATGCCGATTCTCCCCTTTACTCACCCACCTCGCTCCAGTGCACAATCCGACGCCTTTTCTCATCCCTCTCAACGGGACTGCTGCCTACCGGCGGTTCGCCCCTCACCTCACATCGGAAATGGCCGACGTCCGACAGAGAGTTCTCCCTTGATTGCCCTAACTACCGGTTCTCACTCTCCTCTTGGCAGCATACGCACCACGCATGCGCACCTGTGAGAGTGAAGGCTGCATCCGATGCCTGGGTCGATGAGTTACAGCTACAACTGGAATGAGTGTATGACTCTATCTCAACATCGAGGCCAAATCGAAACCGGATTGAGTCGAGCGAGCCTAGGGGTCCATCTTGGGCGTACGTATGCGGCTCTGCTCCCTCTGGAAAATCAGCCTTCTTAAGTTTCAGGTAGGGGAGGTGGTTGCCTGATTATCGGTGAGGTATCAGGGCAACGTTTCCCCTTGCCCTTTGTGGAACACACATGCTCAGGGCAGTCCTTGAGTCTATTCCAGCCAACTAAGCCGTGCCTCCAAAGGTACCGACAAAAGCCGCAGAGCCGCAAAGCAGAGCCTCCTCCGAGAGCCGCAAGCTCGCTTCATTTTGGGGAGTTGGATGGCTTCCCACGTCGTATGCTGGCCCATGGCGTCCTTTTGCCGCCCTTCTGCGTACTTTCGGTGCAAGACACAAGGAGTCATATTCTCCTCTTCCCCTCACCACTGGTGGATATTTCCTTGAATAATGTCTGGGCTAATTTGTTCCAGATCACCCACCGGAGGTGTTCCTATCTGCCTGGACATACCGTAACATCGCATCGAACTGCCGCTCCAGATATCGAAACGCCTGTAGGGGACCTATTAGGGCAGACGTTACATACCAATGGCCGGCCTAGAGGCGTCTTCATAGGCAAGCGCAGTTGTGGTATTAGACGTCGCGTTATGGAGTGTGAACTCGTCACTGCGCCGACTTGCGCCGAGGCAAGCAGGATGCCTTCTGGAACAGCCACGATGGGCACCAGCTCGACGACAGGAGTCTCCACCGAGACGACTCATTCACGTTGGCCCTGTCTCCGTTGAAGGCTTCCCGTGAACAAATGTCTAGTGACTTTGGTACGGTGGCTTGAAACCTCGTTGGTCAACAATTCTGTCGCCTCGGCCAGGCTTTCTCGACACAGCCGTCGATTGTAATGTCAGTGAGACTCTGCGGACGATGCGCATCAAGGGATGTGGGATTTGGTATTGAGGTTTTGGAAGTATAAAGAGATGGATTCCTGAGAAATAAGTGTTTTCTGAATTCATATCATCACCGCCTTCAGCTTCCTTTCGAGCATCTACTAGATATACTCATCAGAGAATCTACTACTCTTCTGTCTGATCTATTCAAGACTCTACCATATCTACCCCTGATTTCCTCGCACGAATACTTTTAATCCATCACAATGCCCAAGCCATCAGCAAAGACTTACGTCTCGACCTGGACATGCGTAAGTCAATATCAAGCCGCTAACTTTGACTTCAACGCAATTATTAACATTTAACAGTGCCAGTGCGGTGACTCGGGAATGACCACGAGAATCGACGGCTGCCCTACATGCGGATACAGACGTTGCAGCCACTGCCCAGTTCAAACCACCAGAGTGCGATGAGCGTCTCCAACGATGCTTCATCGTTCTTCCACACAACGATGGCAGTTCCAAAAGTACCTATGGGCACAGGCAACGATTCCACGGTACTTTGACCCCCTGGTCAAGCACACTGCACGATGCGGGAAGCAGCAGGGATATTTCCCGGGGATGGTAAACCGTTCCGCCTACGCGGAGTTGTGTTTTAGGGTGGATGAAGTTTGGTTTGAAGTTTTCGATTCTATCCCACTGACTTAGATTTCCTTTGTCTTTCATTGGCTGGATCTACTGCTGTGTCCTTTTTAGTCTCTCTCTCACCTGACTCACAATGCAGGCATGGGACCTGCTAGGGGGCCTAGGCGGGATCGACCGTGTGATTGGGCTTTATTTCTTTTGTTTAGGATTCCGACTGGTTACGACGTACGGCTTCCTCACTCACTACTCTCTTTTCATTGGATGTTTCTCTATGTATTAGAGGGGGTCTAGGACGCAAGTCATTTGCTAGATAGACTAGAAGTCTCACGACATATCCTCCTCAATGGACTCATCTCTGTTTTCGTTTTTGCAACGTTACGCAGCCTCTTTGAAAGTCTAGAATCTTTCTTGGACCATGCAATACTGTGAATG